ATACATTGTCTGAAATAAAAAATATTATACAGAGTCCTCAAACCAGAATGGAAGATCATAAGAATCAAGTCAAAGATTTGGGACACAGAGAGCCAGAGGACACTCCTCCACAGAAGCAGGAAGATAAGAGAATCCAGAAAGTTGAAGATAGTGTAAGAAACCTCTGGGACAACTTCAAACAAACCAACATCAGAATTATGGGAGTCCCAGAAGAAGAGAGAGAGCAAAATACCAAGAACATACTGGAAGAAATAGTGACAGAAAACTTCCCCCACCTGGGGAAAGAAATAGACTTACAAGTCCAGGAAGAGCACAGAACCCAAACAAAAGGAATCCAAAGAGGACCACACCAAGACACATCATAATTAAAATTCCAAGAGCAAAAGACAAAGAGAGAATATTAAAAGCAGCAAGAGCAAAGCAGGTAGTTACCTATAAAGGAGCACCCATATGATTGTCAGCTGATTTCTCAACAGAAACCATGCAGGCCAGATGGGAATGGCAAGAAATATTCAAGGTGATGAATAGCAAGAACCTACAGCCAAAAATACTCTACTCAGCAAAGCTATCACTTAGAATCGAAGGCCAGATAAAGAGCTTCACAAATAAAAAAAAGCTAAAGGAGTTCATCACCGCCAAACCAGAATTATATGAATTGCTGAAGGGGGATCTTTAGGAAGAGGAAGAAGATAAAGATAAAAATTTTGAACAACAACTATGTAACTGTCAACAAGTGAAACTAAAAGCCAGGGGAATTAAAAAACCTGATGAACAATATTAACTGGTGAATATAATAGAATCAGAGGTATGGAAGGGGAGTGGACTGATGATTCTCGAGGAAAAGGGGAGTGGGGGATGCAGGAAGAGCCTGAACAAAAACTGTGCACCTATGGATGAGGACAATGAGGGGTGGGGAAAGGGTAGAGGGTGGGGTGGGAACCTGGTGGAAGGGAGCAATTGGGGGAGGGGAGTAAAGAGGAACATTTGTAATAACCTGAACAATAAAGATTTATTTAAAAAAAAGTTATTTCTCTCATCTCTCTATCTCCTCCTTCCTCCCTCTCTAAAGTTAATAAATAAATTAAAAACAAATTTTGAAGATGTGATTCATACCTGGCTGACATGGTTCAATGGCTGAGCATTGACTTATGAACTAGGAGGTCATGGTTTGAGTCCTGGTTGGGGCACATCTTGGGTTTCAGGCCTGTCCCCAGTGGGGGTGGCTTACAGAAGGCAGCAGATCAATAATTGTCCCTCATCATTGATGTTTCTATCTCCCTCTCCCTTCCTCTCTGAAATGAATAAAAATATATTTAAAAAATAAAATAAAGATGTGGTTCGTATATACACAATGGAATGTTATTCAGCAATGAAAAGGGGAACCCTTGCTACTTATGGCAACAGGTTTGGGCCTTGGCATTATCTGAAGTGAAGTAAGTCAGACAAAAGGCAATACTGGACAACTTCACTTGTATGTGGACTCTTAAAAAAAACAAGTTCCAGAGATGGAACGCAAATTGGTGGTTGTCCGAGGTGGGGATGATGGGGTAGGGAAATGAATGAAGCGGGTGGAAAGTGTATGCTTCCAGGTACAGGACACATAAATCCTAGCCCTGGCCAGGTACTTCAGTTGGTTAGAATGCCGTCCCAGTACAACAAGGTTGTGGGTTTTATCTCCAGTCAGGGCTCATACAAGAATCAACTAGTGAATGCATAAGTGAGTGGAACCACAAATTGATGTTTCTCTCTCTCAGATCAATTTTAAAATTTTTTTAAATGGCTGAAATTGGTTTGGCTCAGTGGATAGAGCGTCAGTCTGCAGACTGAAGGGTCCCAGGTTCGATTCCGGTCAAGGGCATGTGCATTGGTTTCGGGCACATTCCCTGGTGGATGGTGTGCAGGAGGCAGCTGATCGATGTATCTCTCTTATTGATGTTTTTAACTCTCTATCCCTCTCCCTTCCTCTCTGTGAAAAATCAATAAAATATATTTTTAAATTTTTTTAAATATATGTTTTATTGATTTCAGAGATGAAAGGAGAGGGCGAAAAATATAGAAACATCAATGATGAGTGAGAATAATTGATCGACTGCCTCCTGCACACCACCCACATTGCTTCTCACTCTCTATCCCTCTTCCTTCCTCTCTGTAAAAAAATCAATAAAATATATATTTAGGAAAAAAGAAAAGAAAAAGAAAATAGGGGCAGACCGTGTCAGGATTAAGGAAAGAGCATTTCAAGCTGAAGAAACTGCAAGGCGGCCACACCAGGGCTCAGAGTGAGGGAAGAGCCAGTGGGCCGCGGTGGAGCTGCCCTGGGCTTGTTCCTTGGTCTGCCTGAGACCGCCTGGCACCCTGGAGGAAGCCCTGCCTTTCCTGGCGTCAGAAGCAAGGGATTGCGCTTCCCTTTTCCTTGAAAACACACAAAGGAGTGCAAGATGGGGAGGTGCATGCTCCTCCTGCCAACCGGTCCCCATTACCATCCCGTTCTCCCTCGGGAAATGGCCCTCCGCGTCCCAGAGCTGGACCCCACGGAGTCATCCTTGACTCGGCCCTGCCCTCATGTTTCAGCAAGTCCGGCCGGCCCTGCCACCAAAACAGGTGCCAAATCCAACTCCTTCTCCGTCGCCACGGTGCAGCCATCACACGCCCGAACGAGACAGTCACTTCCTCTCCCATTTGTCTTCTGCCCTGTGCTCCCACTCCCTGACTGGCACTCCTGCAGCCTCAGGAGGTGCCTGTATACACCTGAGTACCTCCTCTGCTCAGAAGCCTCCATGGCTCACTCAGAGGAAGAGCCGAAGTCCCCTCTCCCGCACCCACGCTGAAAGCACAGGCATCCCCTGCCCCACCCACCCCCTCTTTGCCCTCCTTTCCGCCAACTCTGCTCCTTCCTCACTGCACTCTGGCCACACTGGCCTCGAGACTGTTCCTCAAGGCGGCTCCTACCACAGGGCCTTTGCACGTTCCGTGTTCTTTGTCGGATACACTGTCTCCCTCTGGTCTTTGCTCCAATGTCACATTCTCAGTCTTCCCCCAGAATACTCAATTTAAAAGTACATTAACCCTCATATTTCCTCTCCCTTTCCCCGTTTCATTTTTCTGCTTAGCACTAATAACAACCTAACATTTCATCTATTTCATTTTTGTGTCTTTTTTTAGTTTTTTTGAACATATTAATTTATTACAGAGAGGAAGAGAGAGGGATAGTTAGAAACATCAATGAGAGAGAATCATCAATCAGCTGCCTCTTGCACACCCCCCACCGGGGATGTGCCCGCAACCAAGGTACATGCCCTTGACCGGAATCGAACCCGGGACCTTTCAGTCCACAGGCCGACGCTCTATCCACCGAGGCAAACCGGTTTCGGCTCATTTTCGTTTCTTGCCTGTTGCCCCCACTAAGACCATCCCAGTACGATAGCAGAGATTTCTGTCCGTTCTGTTTATTGTGTGTCCCCAGCGTCTGGAAAGATGCCTCCTAGAGAATTGGCGCTCGGTCACCCTGCTCAGTGGCGTGGAGAAGGCAGCGCGCCTTTCCGGCTGCAGGCGGCACCTGGGCCGCCAGGGGGAGCTAGCGGCTGTGAACTTGGATTCCGGGCCAAGGGACCCAGTAACGCGCGCGCCCGAGAAAAATCCTCCGGAAAAGAACACCCCGCGCAGGATTTTCCCACACTCTCCGAGGGCCTCGGACCCGGGCCATTCTGGGGGTGGACTTTTGCATCCTCTCCCCCCTCCCCCCAGTAAGAAAGATCCCCGTGGAAATTCTTAGGAACCCTCGGGGTGTGGGGAGAGGGACGCATTTCTGGACGATGGGAGACTCCAAGCTCCATCTCTCGGAGGAAGGGCGGAGGCGTCCATCGGGCCCCCCTCCCTTCCCCTTCTGCCGGGCGAACCTGTGGCCCCCCGGAGGTCTCCATGGAGACGCGGCACGCGCCGCACAACAGGAAGCCTGGGGCGGCGCTGTCGGCGCGCCCCGAGACCCTCCAGGCCTCCGCGGGGTGACGGATGAGTCTGAGGTCACACGCACGGGCTGCGGCCCCGGGGACGGGGGGCCTGGGGGCGGCCTGGGGATGCGGCGCGGGGCCCCACAGCGCCCCCACCGCCCCGATGGGACCAGCCCACGGGTGGCGATAGACCCCCGGGATGGGCCGGAGTTTGAGCGTCCCCTCGCCCCGCCCCCCTGCAGAGCCCAGGCGCTGCCTCAGTTTCCCCGCGGAGAGTGGGAACGGCGGGGGGGGGGGCTGCACGCCGGTACCACGTGACTTCCTTCCCGTTTCTCGAAGCTGCGAGGACGCCCCCGCGACCCCGGCAGAAAGGGGAAGCGAGGCCTGGGGACCCGGGGCGCCCATCGGCAAGGAAAGCGGATCCCGGGAGTGTCCTCGCCCCCGCGGCGCACGGGATCCTGGAGGCGCCAGGGCCCGCTTCTCGGAAATGCGGGTGCCAGCGGGGCGGAGTCCCGCCCTTTGGGGGCAGAGACACCCTGGATGGAGGCTCCCCTGGGGGGATTCCCGGGACCCCTCCCCTCTGAGGGATCGTCCGCTCGGTCCCAGGGACCTGCCGGCGCCGGGGAGTCCAAGCCCCTGGCACCTCGGAGCCTCAGTTTACCCGTCCCGGGAATGGGCGCAGCTGTGAGCTCACAGCGCAGCCCCATCGCCCCAGAACGGAGATGGGCCCGGCCCCGGGGCCGGACCCCGAGAACCCGAGCAGCCCTCCGGGCGCCACCGCCTCTGGGGTCCCTTTGCTTCAGTTAGGAAATTCCGGGCTCCGGCGGCCAGCGAGGGGCACGGCCGATCCGGAAAAACCCGAGCCCTCCTTCCCCGGGAGAAGGCACGGGGTTTCCGGGAAGGCGGCGCCGCCCCCTCCCCCACGCCGCCGGGGCCGCCCTTATAAAGCGCGCGCCGCCCGCGGCCCCTCCGCAGAGCTGCCCTCCTCCGCTCCGGACCCCGCGATCCTCCCGGGACCTCCTCCTCCGCTCCGGACCCCGCGCTCCTCCCGGGACCTCCTCCTCCGCTCCGGACCCCGCGCTCCTCCCGGGACCTCCTCCTCCGCTCCGGACCCCGCGCTCCTCCCGGGACCTCCTCCTCCGCTCCGGACCCCGCTCTCCTCCGCTGGCCGCTATGCGTCCCGTCGCCCCCCGGCCCCCGCTGCCCGCGCTCCTGGCCCTGCTCTGGGCTCTGCTCCCAGGTGAGTGCAGGACGGGGCTGCCGTCCGGCCGGCGCTCCAGGCGGGGGTAGGGGGGTGGGGCGCGGCGGGCGGACCGGCTCCCCGCCGACTGGGGACCGGGCCATTGGTATTCAGGCAGTTGTTTGGGGGAAGTTGGGGCAAGGGCCACTCGCTGAAAGTCCACCGGCAGGCCCTGGCCAGGTAGCTTGGTTGGTTAGACTCTTAACCGTTAGAGCACATGTGTCAAACACAAGGCCCGCGGGCCAAATCCGTCCCGCCAGGCCTTGCAATGTGGCCTGCACCGCGCTGTCATCACTGCACTCCGCTGCGTTTCCATCACAATGACAGTTTATGACTGTTCAGTAAACCATTCGGCCCGCGATTTAGGCTGGATTTTAGATTTTGGCCCCTTCTCTGATTGAGTTCGACACCCCTACGTTAGAGCGTCCTTGTGATACGCCAAGGTGGTGGTTGGGTCCCCCTGGTCAGGCACACTCAATAATCAACCAATGAATACATAGATAAGCGGAACAACAACCAAGAAAATCTGTAGGGGGTGTGCAGGAAACAGCTGATGGATGTTCCTCTCTCATTGATGTTTCTAGCTCTCTATCCCTCTCCCTTCCTCTCTGTAAAAAAATCAATTAAAAATATGTATTTTTAAATTTTTTAAAAGAAAGTCAAGCCCAGCCTGCATGACTCAGTGGCTGAGCATTGACCTATAAACTAGTTTCGATTCCGGTCAAGGGCACATGCGCAGGTTGCAGGCTGGATCCTCGGTGTGGGGTGTTCAGGAGGCAGCAGGTCGATGATTCTCTCCCATCACTGATGTTTCTATGTCTCTCTCTCCCTCTGCCTTCCTCTCTGAAATCAATAAAAATATTTTGAAAAAAGAAAGGAAATTAACTGCCACGGGTTCAAATCCAGACCCCGCGCCTCAATGTCTGGCCTGGGCCTATTGCAGACTCTATTGGAGAACGTAATGTCAGCGCTCACACAGCGTCTGCCCCCAGAAGACAGTCATGTGACATGGGACGCGGTTGCCCTCTGAGCAGGCTGGGGACCCCCACGCAGCCAGCACCTTTTGTTCCTCCTTTACTGCCCTTGGGGAAGTCCAGACCTGCTTCTGCTCAGGGGAATTCCAAGCCTGATTTGCCCAAGGACCAGAGCCTGAGAAGTGAGATTCCCCGCGCCCCTCCACCAGCTCCAGAGGGAGGGGAGAACGGGAACAGAGAGTCTCAGAGGAAAGGGTGACCAGGGCTGGGGGGCAGGCGAGAGGAAGATGGAACGTTCTAACGCAGACTGCAGTGCAGAGTCCACTGCTTTCTGGCTGAGTGACCTCACCATTTCCCTCTGTGAAATGGGAATGAGTCCAGGATCCTCCTCGGAGATACTCCCAAAGCTGAGGGTGGGGTAGGAGGGAGGGGCTCAGACAGACATTTTTTTTCAGCTTTGGAGGCACCAGGGTCTGAGGAAGCTAACACAATCCCTCTTCTTTTTCTTTTCTTTGAAAATATATTTTATTGATTTTTTACAGAGAGGAAGGGAGAGGGATAGAGAGCTAGAAACATCGATGAGAGAGAAACATCGACCTGCTGCCTCCTGCACACCCCCTACTGGTTGCATGTACCGCAACCAATGTACATGCCCTTGACCGGAATCGAACCTGGGACCTTTCAGTCCTCAGGCCGAGGCTCTATCCACTGAGCCAAACCAGTTCTGGCACAATCCCTCTTCTTATCTGTGCCTGCTTCCTCCCTGCCCTGTCCTAGGAGTTACTTTCAATAGCAGGATTCGGAGAACTCCCCTTACAGATGGGGAAACTGGGGCAGGAAAGGGGAGGTCACTTGTCAAAGAGAGGGAGGAACCATCCTGATTAGAATCCTCCATCCCCAAAGGGCTGTCCCCCCAACTCCGACCTCTGGGAGAGAGGACCCTGGTGCTACGTTCCCCCTCTGCTGGAATCCTCCAGTGGCTCCCCGTGGCCTTCAGAATGAAAAACACATCCTTGGCATGGCCTCCGCTGCCTGCGCGATCTTCCTGATCTCATTTCCCCCAACTCTTCCCCCTGCTGACTTGGCTGCGGACACCCTGCCCCAGGACCTTTGGACTTGGGACTCATTTCCCTTTTCTCTGGATCGCCCTTCTCATCATCCATATCTGTGCTCACACAGAACCCTGTCATCAAGCCACTGTCCTATCACCCAGCATTGTTGTTGTTGTTATTGTTGTGTATGTGTGGTGTTTGTCAGAGTTCTTATTAACATCAGTTATGAATTATCTTGTTTGCTCGTGAATTTTTCTGTCTCCCACACTGATGGCGGGGAGTTCTGTCTTAGTCAAGGCTGTGCCCCTCGCACAGGCTGGGGGCCCAGGGGTATGGATGAACCCAATTTGCAACGCCTTTCTCCTCTTCACACTTTTGTTCCAGGGCCTGGAGGTGCCCAAACATCAGTGCACCCCAAGGCAGTCATCATACCCCGGGGCGGTTCGGTGGTGGTGAACTGCAGTACCTCCTGTGAGCAGCACAAACTGCTGGGTCTGGAGACTGTTTTGAATAAGAAAGAAGTGGCCAGCGGGTCCAACTGGGAGACCTATGAACTGAGTTCCGTACAAGAAGACACCACTCCCTTCTGCTACTCCACCTGCAACAACAACGAACAGTCACAAGCTATAATGTCCCTCACCGTGTACTGTGAGTGGTGGGGCCCTGGGCTGGGCGAGGCGTGCTGGGTGGGGGAGGTGGGCAAGGGAGTCCTTAGTGGGCTGGGACTGCCGGTGAGGTTTGGTGATGGGGCCAGGGAGGGTCTCCCTGAAGGGCAGGTGGTCACATCTTCGGAAAGCCTCCTTGTCGTTTGAAACCCCTTTGAGCTTCCTTGGGTGCACTTATGAGTATCAACAGGGCCGAAGCCAGTTTGGCTCAGCGGTAGAGCGTCGGTCTGCAGACTGAAAGGTCCCAGGTTCGATTCCCGTCAAGGGCATGTACATTGGTTGCGGGCACATCCCCAGTAGGGGGTATGCAAGAGGTAGCTGGTTTCTCTCTCATCGATGTTTCTAGCTCTCTAGCTCTCTCCCTTCCTCTCTATAAAAAAATAAATAAAATAAAAAAGTATCAACAGGGATCCAGTACATTCAAGAACTGGCTCTCTAGACCCCAGACGAGGCCCTAGATCGGACTCTTTTATAGAAATACTAGAGGCCCGGTGCACGAATTCCTGCATGGGTGGGGCCCCTCAGGGGTAGCCTGCGGGGATTGGGCCCCAGCTCACACCCCCAGCATGGAAGCCCTGCAGCCCCGCCTGGCAACCTGCGGTGGCCCATGCTGCCCCCTCTTCCGCTTCATCATCTGCGGGGCGATCAGCAGGGCAATTGCCCACCTTCCTCCCCCTCCCACCTGCCTTGGCCTGGCGCCGCCTGCTCACCTGCTCCACCATCCTGCCTCTCCACAGGGCCCATTGGGCCGGCAGCACCTCCACTGCCAGCTCAGTGTCGCTGATGCCCACCATGTTCCATGAGGCCCCCTGGTGGTCAGTGCACATCACAGTGAGCAGTGGAACTCCTGGTTGAACAATTTGCATATTAGGCTTTTATTATATAGGATTGTTTTAATTAATTGATTTGGATAAATATAATTGATTTCAGAAAGAAGGGAGAATCATTGATTTGCTGTCTCTTGCACATCCCCTACTGGGGATGGAGCCTGCAATCCCAGCATATGCCGTGAACAGGAATCGAACCATGACCTCCTTGTTCATAGGTTAACATTCAGCCACCGAGCCACACCGGCCAGGCAAGCTGACTTTTATTTATTTTTTAATTATTATTTTTAATATGTATTTTTATTGATTTCAGAGAGGAAGGGAGAGGGAGAAAGAGATAGAAATATCAATGATGAGAGAGAATCATTGATCAGCTGGGTCCTGCACATCCCACCCTGGGGATGGAGCCCACAACCCAGGCATGTGCCCTGACTGGAATCAAACCTGGGAGCCTTCAGTCCGAAGGCAGATGGTCTATCCACTGAACCAAACCAGCTAGGGCCAGGTGCATCTTAATAATAAGATGCATATTAAAACTAGCCCTGAATTTTTATTTTTTTTTTCACTTATTGACAACAATGGAAAGGATTGGTAACAGCTGTGCTGATAAGACTGAGAGACTGCAGGCCGTCTGGGACGTTGCTGACCGGGGTGGGAGCGTAAGGAAGCACAACCCCAGTCAAGGAAGGGGCCTCCGTTCTCCAAAGGACACAGGCGCCTGTCCTGTGGTACCAGAAACCCTGCTTCTGGGAACTGGGCTTCTGGGCGTCCCTGCTCAGGGGAACTGGGGGTGGGATTATTCACGGCAGCTTTGCTTGGGGCTGGGAGGTGACTGGTTTGGCTGTCCCATAGTGTAGTAAGCCACGGTGTCCAAGAATGAGGAAGTTCCTTCCTTTTTACTGGAAGCTGCAGTCAAACTCAAAAGAAGTCAGGTATGCCCATGAGACCGGTTTGGCTCAGTGGTTTGGCTCAGTGGTAGAGCGTCGGTCTGCGGACCGAAGGGTCCCGGGTTCTATTCCGGTCAGGGGCATGTGCATTGGCTGCAGGCACATCCCGGGTAGGGGGTGTGCGGGAGGCAGCTGGTCGATGTTTCTCATTCATCGACGTTTCTAGCTCTCTATCCCTTTCTCCTCCTCTCTGTAAAAAAAAAAAATCAATAAAATATTTTTTAAAAAAAGAAAGAAAGAAAAAAAAAAAAGAAAAAGAAAGAAAGCTTATTCTAAAATAAAAAAAAAAAGAAGAAGAAGAAGAGGAAGTCAGGTATGCCCAGAATGAGAGGCACGCTATTCTGTGTGTTGTGGAGTGGTGGGTGAGGGAGGTTGTGTTCACTGAAAGAAGTGACCGCATTAGCGGTGGAGGGCAGGGGCGCGGCGCCTCTGAGGGGCTCCAGGAGAGGGCAGGAGCAAGTTTCTACTTGTGCCTTTTTTTTTTTTTACCTTTGGGAATTTTTGAACTGTGAGAATGAGTAACTATGACCATAGGCAATAAACAAAATTCAAATTAGAACAACAACAAAAAAAAAAAAAAAAAAAAGGAAGGAAGGAAGGAAAGAAAGAAGGAAAGAAGAAAGGAAGGAAGGAAGAAGGAAAACTGGTCACCTGGCTTTGAGATTAGACAGCCTTGGGTTCCAGTCCCATCATGGCCCTCACTAACTGTGTGACTGTGGGGGCCTGGCTTCTTGGCTGACTTCCACATGAGACCTCCTGGGATGGGGACAGGGACACAGTGAGGCATGAAGGACATCCCGCCTTCACTGTGTCTGGGTGAGGAAGGCTTTGGGCGAATGTCAGCTTTGCTTCTGATGTGGAGGGTGTTTGAGCAGACGCTGGCCCGGTGAGGGAAGTCCCCAAACATTCCCGGGGGGCACTGAAAACCCCAGGGGACTCCCTGGAACGCCCTTCCACAGCTCGGCCTGGGAGCTGAAAGCCCAGCATGTCAGGTGTGAGTTCCTGGCTCTGCCACTTGCTCCCTCTGCGGCTCTGGACACCAGGCTCTGCCTCGGTTCCCATCTCTGTGAGATGGGGCAGATAGCTGGCACACAGCAGATAGCTGGCACACAGCGAGACACTCTGGCTTGGGCCTGCCCTGCCCTCAGCGTAAAGATGAGGCACTTCCCTGGGTGACTAAGCTTTCTCAAGAAAGGTTAGCATGGTGACTTGTGCAGGAAGTGACCCCTCATTAGGCCTTGGAGGGTGCCTAGGAGCTGGTAGACAGGCATTCCGGGCAGAGAGAACAGCCCTGGCCAAGGTTTGGGGTGGGGAAGCATGCTGACCCAGGGTTGGAAGGGCAGGAGGCGCTGAACATCAGCAGGTTAGCGAGGCTGGAGCTAAGGGTGGCAGGTCCTCAAATGCCAGGCTGGGCCGAAACCGGTTTGGCTCAGTGGTAGAGCGTCGGTCTGCGGACTGAAAGGTCCCGGGTTCGATTCCGGTCGGGGGCATGTACATTGGTTGTGGGCACATCCCCGGTAGGGGGTGTACAGGAGGCAGCTGGTCGATGTTTCTTTCTTATCGACATTTCTAGCTCTTTATCCCTCTCCCTTCCTCTCTGTAAAAAATCAATAAAATATATTTAAAAAAAAAAAAAAGAAGAAGAAGAATGTGAGAGCAGGCCAGGAATCTAGAGGGCAGAAGGCCAGACTTAGGAGAAGCCAGAGGACAGTTGGCTGAGGGCCTGGTCCAGGTCACACGTTTTGTGGGCAGTGGCTGCTTACAGGAAAGGGAGGGCAGACAAATATTTGAAGAGCAGTGTGACCGGGACTTGGTGAGGGACTGAAGGTGGGGGGTGAGGGGGACACGGAGAGGTTAAGGCAGTCTGGCTTGCAGGCCAAAGAGCCATCTGGAGATGTGGGGGGTTGAGGTTTAAGGAGGCCTCTCTGCAAATTGTGGTTTTCAGTAGATGGTTAGATATCGGAACTGGCTGCCTGAGGGTTTTCTGAGACTTAAAAATAATAAAAAATAAAAAAATATATTTTTTTAATGATTTCAGAGAGGAAGAAGAGAGAGAAACATCAAATGATGTGAATCATTGATCAGATGCCCCCTGCTCATCCCCTACTGGGGACTGAGTCCAAAACCTGGGCGTGTGCTCTGGACCAGAATTGAATCTGGGACCCTTCAGTACACAGGCCAACTCTATTCACTGAGCCAAATTGGCTACAGCTCTGGGCCCTTTAAAACACACACACACACACACACACACACAAAACAACAAAAAACAAAAAACAAACAAACAAACAAAAAACCAGATTTGAAATAAGTCAATGAACTTTAGTGTTTATAGAGTTGTACAACCATCATCACAATCTAATTTAAGAACATTTTCATTACCTTAAAAGGCAACCTTATGCCCATTGACACTCACTCTTTAACTTCTTAAATGGATTAATAATAGTCCTACCTCCAACAGGCCCACTTCTCAGCTCAGGAAACTGAGGCTCCGCTTCTGTAGCCCTGAGGGCTGGGACTGTTCCAGAGGAAAGTCACTCACTCACCGCCCACAGCGAAGAAAAAGAAAAGCAAGGAACCAAACCCAAGCCCCTGACACGTTGTCGGCATTGCCCAGTGATATTTCTGGGCTTCTTGAGAAGGGAACAGGGACCCGGGGCCCTCAGGACCTCTCCCTGGGGAGCTTGGCGGGTCTCAGAGCTAAGTCACAGCTGGCAGAGCTCTGCTATAAATGTCCACTGGCAACTCAGGCTCAGAGTTCTGTTACGTGGTGCGAAACGGAAACCCCTGTGAAAACCAAGCACACAAGTTGTGTCTTCAGGGGCTGTTCAGAGTTGCATTTTGAGTGTCTGTGGGTTCTTTCATTGTTAACATTTCAGAGGGTCATACAGCATATTCAGGAATTCTTCCTCACTCTTTTTTTTTTTTAATTGACTTCGGAGAGGAAGGGAGAGGGAGTGAGAGCTAGAAACATCCATGATGAGAGAGAATCCTTGTTCGGCTGCCTCCTGCACGCCCCGCACTGAACAGCCCGGGCATGTGCCCTGACCGGGAATCCAACGGTGACCTCCTGGTTCGTAAATGGAGGCTCAACCACCGAGCTGTGCAGTCAGGGCCAGAGCTTCTTCCTCTGGGAAGTGGGCTCCTGAAAGGCCTGCAGTCAGTGTGTGTGGTTCAACCTCATTCTTTCTATAAACAGAGTGCCTACTGTGTGCCAACACACAACGTGAGGGGCAAATTCCAATGCCTCCTGGGCTGACATTTCATGGGAGGAAATTGAGGAGAAACAAGTTCACTGAATAGATGATCCTGTGTGTCAGAGGGTGCATGGGTGCTACAGAGACAAATAAAGTCAAGGAGGGTGGGGGATTGGAATGGGGGTTGAGGACAAATATGTAATACCTTAATCAATAAAGAAATTAATAAAGAAATAATAAAGAAATAAAATTAAATTAAAAAAAGAAAAAAATATAAAAATAAAACAAGGATAGAGAAGGGGGGCAGAGCTTTCTCTCTCTCTCTCCTCTCTCTCTCTCTCTCTCTCTCGTTTATTCTGCTTTTTTTTGTTTGTTTTTTTAGTTTTCTTTTTAAACCATTTTTATTGTTTTTAAACTTCTTTTTCTTTTCTTCTTTAAATTTTTGTTTGAAGAGCAGAGGCCTTTTTAAAAACAGGCCCCACTGGCCAGGGCAGCTGAAATACTGTGTGTATTTCGCTAGACACCTGGTGACAGACTCAGGTTTTCTTTTCCACCTTTTCACTCCTAGAAGCTGCAGTAGATAAAACAAAACAAAACCTGTCTCGCCCTTTCGCAACCACATGGGAATTTCTCACTGGTTTCCCCTGAAGTTCTTAACATTCCTGTATGACTTAGGTGGCTTCGGATTAGACAGTCGTGGGCTATGTTGAGGGGCGGGGCGTGGGGGTGAGGCTCCTGGCCAGGTGTGGTGCCCCTGTGCCCCCTGCTGGTGGGCATCCTGCCCAGCTCACAGGACACCCCTCCCTCTCCCCTCCCCCAGGGCTCCCAGAGCGAGTGGAGCTGGCACCCCTTCCCCCATGGCAGCCTGTGGGCGAGAACCTCACCCTCCGGTGCCAGGTGGCGGGCGGGGCGCCCCGGACCAACCTCTCGGTGATGCTGCTCCAAGGGGAGAAGCTGCTGAGCCTGCCGCAGCCCGCGGGGGCGACGCCTGTGGCCGAGGTCACGGCCACCGTGCTGGCACGCAGAGACGACCATGGCACCAATTTCTCCTGCCGCACAGAACTGGACCTTCGGCCCCAAGGGCTGGGGCTGTTCCAGAACAGCTCAGTCCCCAGGCAGCTCCGGACCTTCGGTGAGGCACCGGGAAATGTGCGGGAGGACAGGCTCAGGCCGTGCTCCTGCCTGGGGCGCGGGGTTTGAGGGGATGGAGAAGAGAGCGGCCTAGATCGCAAAGGCTTCTGGGAAGAGCATGTCTTGGCCACTGGGGCGGGGTGTTGGGGGGGTGGGCTGCCTGGGCCACGGGATCTTCTGAGAAGGCTGTGACCCAGGGCAAGGGGTGCGAGGGTCCTGAGTCATAGGTGGCCAAGCCGCAGAGTCTCCCGGGGAAGAGGAGTCCCAGGTGACAGGATGAAGATGCGGCAGGAAAGGGCTCCAGTTCCCCTCTGTTCACACCCTCCTTCTCTGGCCAGTCCTGCCAGAGGTCCGCCCACACCTCGCTGCTCCCAAGATCCTGGAAGTGGGCACACGGGCGTCCGTGACCTGCACCATGGATGGGCTGTTCCCGGTCTCAGAGGCCCAGGTCCACTTGGCCCTGGAGGACCAGAGGCTGGAACCCAGAATCGACCGCAGCAAGGACTCCCTCTTGGCCACCGCCCGGGTGGAGGCGACCCCGGGGGAGGAAGGCAGCCACCCGCTGACCTGCGCAGTGAGCCTGGGAAACCAGAGACGGAGCACTCAGGAGTATGTGACCATCTACAGTAAGTGGAGGCAGGGCAGAGCTTTGGGCGGGTGGGGCCAGACCTAGGGGAGGGGCTCACTGTGTGCTCCTCCCCCAGGTTTCCCAGCTCCCAACCTGACCCTGAGTGAGTCTGAAGTCCCGGAGGGGACTGAGGTGAGCGTGGAGTGCAAGGCCCATGCTGGGGCTGCGGTGACGCTGAGCTGGGGCCCAGATGGGTCTCCACTTCCGAGGGCCCAAACCACGCTGAATGCCACTGCTGAGGACGACGGGCGAGAATTTTTGTGTTCCGCCATGCTGGTGGTGGCCGGGGAGGAGCTGCACAAACACAAGACCCAGAAGCTCTCTGTCTTGCGTGAGTAGGGCTGCTGGACAATGACCCCCCCTAACCTCCAAGGCCCAGGCCCTATGACTCCATGAGCTCACGTCTCTGGAGTCTACCCCCGCCCCTGCCCTGGGCTCCCTACCTGACTCCTCCAGACCGGGGTGGTGGGAGGGTTCTGGTCCCTCATCTTGCTCTGTTTCTCTAGATGGCCCCCGCCTGGACCAGGAGACTTGCCCAGGAAACTGGACTTGGGAGGAAGACACCCCGCAGACCCTGAGATGCCAGGCCTTGGGGAACCCGACCCCCACGCTGGCCTGTCGCCGGGAAGGGGATAGGGCGTTGCTGCCCATCGGGGACCTGAGGCCTGTCACGCGGGCTATTTCGGGCACCTACGTGTGCCGGGCCACCAGCAGTCGCGGTGCGGTCACCCACGAAGTGGTTGTGAATGTGATCTGTGAGTGCCTGTGCTGGGGCCCGGGCTGGTGGGTTGGGCAAGATCAGCGAGCCTGGCTCGACCCCCATCTCCCCTTATTGTTCTCCCTACAGATCGCCAGAGTAACCTGGCCACCATCCTTGCGGTGGCAGGCCTCATTGTGGGCCTCGCGGGCACAGTGGGTCTGGCCGCTTACCTCTATAACCGCCAGCGGAAGATCCGGAAGTACAAGCTACAGAAAGCCCAGGAGCAGGCCGCCATGAAGCTGAACTCGCCACCCTGAGCCTGTCCCCGGACAGGGCCTCCCCCGGTGGCAGCAGTGTTGCATTGGACAGTGGCAGACACATGCCATTCAGCAGCACCCACCTTCCTAGAATGCCAGGAGTCAGGACAGAGGCCTCAGCCAGAATACAGACAGCGTTCAGGGCCATGGCACCTGCACACAGCGGGCACGCCTGACCTGTAGCCACAGGGCTGAGCCAAGACTCAGGGGCAAGACTATGGGCATGACTGTGAGGGATGCCAAAGGCTGGCCTGGCCAGAGGGGTGTGACGGAGACATACCTCTGACATGGGGACACCCATCTGGAAAATATGGAAACTCACCTTCCCGAAAGTGCCAAAGGCCCTACAGTCCTAAGAGAGAAGCAGCCCTGCCCAGACACAGGCAGCATCGAAGCAAATCCCCACAGTTCCTCTGACAGCTCTGACAGTGCTGTCTACTGACTGGCCCCAGCGCTGGATGATGACATATTTATTCATTTGTTCTTTTATCAGACATTTGTAAATAGTAGTGGGGTTTTTTCATTGATTTTTCACAGAGAGGAAGGGAGAGATGAGATCCTGCACATCCCCACCCCCTCACGCCCCACTGGGACCCAGCCGTAACCCTGAGGTTGCCCTGACCTGAACAGAACCAGTAACCTCCTGGTGGATGGGACAACGCTCCATCCAATGAGCCACACCGGCTGGGCTAGTTACCAGATATTTATTAGTGCCTTCCATGTGTGGTAGAATGGTAAACAAGAGGAACAGAAGTCCCTGCCCTCAGGAAGCTCAGTCTAATCTCATGCAGGGTCACCAGGTCCAGATGTATTGGCTGTGCCTTGCACAAGAGTGCCTTACAAAAAGCCCACGTGGGGTGGAATTTCCCACTCCATTGGCCAAACTGCTTCCCCTCCCAGCAGGGAAACCAGCACGGTTCAGCTGGTGACAGGGCAACCCACTGGCGCTGACCTCTGTTAGCCACCTCCACCCACATGCCCTCCGCTAGTGCTCACAGTGACGCCTGGTGACATGCTTCAACACGTGTCCACTCTCTGAGAGCGAAACCGTAGGATCCCATGAAACTATGCCCAACCCGCGGGTCCCTGCTTTGTCCTCTCCTTGGGACCGTGTTCCAGCAGCTCCAAATTCCTGAGGGCCCTGCAGACAGCTGGGGTGGGGCTGATTTCCAGCTCTTCTGGAAGCCTCTCCCTTGGGTTAAAGCTTTTTTTCACAGGCCCGGCCTCTGGTGCGTTGAGGCGATGTGCCCCGTCCAGCTGGAGTTCTTCCTAGCTGTCCTTCCACAGCCCTGCCCTACTTCCTCCCCCCAAGGAAAGGCTGATGTTCAAGGCCCATCCCAGAGGCCCGAAACCAAATCTGGGTTTATGTGTAACGTTGGAGACTCTGGGGGGAAAATTAAAGACCTCTCTGCAAAAAAACAAAAAAAAACCTCGTGTGATTTAACGTGGGGTCTGGAATCCCATTTTTGCGTAGAGGGACGGGAGTGTACCTCGCAGGGCTCCCGGCCCTCTGGGAGCCTCTGTCTCTCTGGGTGGGGCTGAGAAGGCGGGGCTTTGGGCTTTCTTATCTACAGAGCCAGCCTGGCTTCCTGGCGCGAGGTCTCTGGCTGCGGGCTCTTTGCCATGGGGTTTCTGCTCCCCGTCACCCTCCTGGTTTTGCTGGCGGTGGCCTACCCGGGAGGCAGGAGCGCGCGGAGGGGCTGGGCCGCGCGGGCACAAAGCCCCAGAGGCAGCTCCCCGGCGCCCTCCGCGCCCTCCGCGACCACAGCAGCGGCGTTCTGGATGCGCATAAGCCCCAAGTTCCTAGCCGTGCCGCCGGGGAGCTCGGTGTGGCTCAACTGCAGCAGCAGCTGCCCCCTCCTGGAGGGCTCCGCCCTCCACACGGGGCTGCGGCGGGGCCAGAAGCTCAGCGGGCCCAGCTGGGTCTCCTTCCAGCTGCTGGATGTCAGGGCCTGGAGCTCCGAGGTGCGCTGCTCCCTCACCTGCGCCGGAGTCACGCGGTGGGCCGCGGCCAGGATCGACGCCTACAGTGAGGGCCGAGGGTGTAGGCCCCGCTGGGGAGCCGGGAGGGGGCCGGAGGCGGGGCAGCTGGCTGACAGCCGCGCTAGGGGGCGCCCGCGGGCCTCGCTCAGCGGCCCCCTCTCGCTTTAGAACGACCTCACCGCGTGGTCCTGGAGCCCCCGGCCTTGAAGGGCAGCGAGTTCGTCCTGCGCTGCCACGTGACGCACGTGTTCCCCGTGGGCTCCCTGGTGGTCACCCTGCGGCGTGGCGGCCGGGTCATCTACTCCGAGAGCCTGGAACGCTTCACGGGCCTGGATCTGGCCAACGTGACGCTGACTTACGAGTTCCAGGCCAGGCCCCAGGACCTCTGGAAGCCCGTGACCTGCCACGCGCGCCTCCGTCTGGACGGCCTGGTGGTCGGCAGCAGCTCAGCACCCGTGAGGCTGACATTCTTGGGTGAGGCATCCTTGTACTCCTGGGACTCTGAGGGGGTGGAGAAGGGTTTTGATGACCCCAGGAGGGGGCACTCGGCCAGGCTTGAGCTCCGCGTGGGTCCTCACGCCTCCGAGCGCTCCGTTCCTAATTCTCACCTCCGGCCCCCAGCGTGGAGCCCCGCGTCCAGAGCCGTGGCTTCCGCTTCCATCGCAGCCTTTGTGGGGATTCTTCTCGTCCTGGGGGCCGTCTACCTGCGGAAGTACCTACAGATGCAGTCCCTGGCCTAGAAGGGGTGGTCCACGCTGGCTGAGTCGGAGCAAAATCTGGGACAATCTGGAGACCCCTCCTAAGTCAATAAAGCCTTCCTCAGCCAGCCTGCCCCTCGGCATGAAGGTCCCCCATTATGGCACCGCCTCCGAGAAAGTGGCCTTTTTGGCCTTGTCACATCGCTTTCTCCAAGTTCCTTGTCCCCCTGAAGGTACCTGGGGGTCCTCCATCCTCCTGTTCTCCCAGCCGGTGTAGTAAACACATCTGCCGCGGGCATTATCAGCTGGGGCAGATGGACACAGCCTAGGCCTGGAGGGCCTGGGGCTGGGGGCGGGCTTTTGCTGACTGGCTCCGCCCCTACCAGGCAAAAACAGCTCTGATTGGATGTTTTGTGTCCTCTCCTCCCTCCTCCCCCTTCTCACTTTGATCTCTTAACTTTTCTGGAGGACAAGAGTAGATCTACAACTGATTCCCATAGTTCACTTGTTGTTTTTAAATATATATATTTTATTGATTTTTTTACAGAGAGGAAGGGAGAGAGAGAGCCAGAAACTCAACTAGCTGCCTCCTGCACACCCCTTACCGGGGATGTGCTCACAACCAAAGTGCATGCCCTTGATCGGAATCGAACCCGGGACCTTTCAGTCCGCAGGCTGACGTTCTATCCACTGAGCCAAACCGGTTTCAGCTCCCATAGTTCACTTGTTAGCTCTGCGGACAAGAGCACAAAACGGGCGGGCTTCACATGTCCACATGGAGGGGCGTGTGGGTATGCAGAAAAGGTACCCCCATGTGTTGACTGCTGGGAAGGAGCTATCAGAGGGTCCGCGTGGGGTGGCACGCGTTTCTGGCAACCTCCTGAGAGTCACAGGGCCCGGCGGAGGCCCCGATGCGGGATCAAAAGTATCAGTCGTTTGTCTCTTGGTGTCGCGTGGACACCATCCGAGCCTGCACCGGGTGCCTGGCGGGGCCCTGCGGCCCGGGGCTCTGGCCGCCGCGCGGAAAGAGAACCGGGGGTGCTCTCCCCGCAGCTCGGGCTCGCACACGCCGCCGGCGAGACACGTGCCCGCTGCACTCTGGGTAAATGCCCTCCTCGAGACGCCCGCGGACGCCGATGCGCGCGAACACGTGCTCCCGGCTCGCTGGCACCTGGGTCTCCGCCCCCTCCGTCGCTTGCGGGGGCGCAGCCGGAAGGGGACTAGGGGCTTGGCTGCAATCCTCCACTCCCCGGGGTCAAAAGGAGAAGGATCTAGGAGGAAGGCATTGTGCGCCTACCTTATCCTGCGCTTCCCAAGTCTCCTACCCCATAAATCGATCCGGCACCAAGGGGCGTTGGTGGGAAGGGCAAAATATGGGGGCGGAGCTCGGAGTCGGGCTCATTTGCACGGCATCTAAGCTGGGGGTGGAATGGGGGGCGGGTGGAGATGGTCAATCCAGCATTTTCTCCCCTCCCCGACCTCCGCGTCGCCTCCTCTGGGGTGACGTGCGCTCAAGGCCGCCCCCAGAAGGCTCTGGGCGACGGGGTCGGCTTCCACGCAGGCCCCGGGGGTCGCTAGCTCCTTCCTGCCCGCACACCTTCCCCGAGGCCGGGAGCCCGGCGCGCGCTCGCCCTCCCGCCTCCCCCCGTCGCCTCTGCCGCCTCCCCCTCCTTGGAAACCAAGTTACCAACGTTAAACCAATCCCCGAGCGCAACTCTACCTCCTCCACACCCCACCCGCCGAGCTCAGCCCGGCGTCAGCTCCCCTCTCCGCCTGCACCTTCCCCGCGGCGGCGATGCCAGGGCCGCTCCGGGCGCTGCTCGGCCTCTGGGCTGCCCTGGGCCTGGGGCTCCTCGGCCTCTCAGGTAAGAAGAGCCCGTCCCGGGTCCGGGTGGACAGGGCGGGGGCGGAGTTCGGGCTGGAGAAGAGGCCACATGCCCCTCTCGGCTCCGCCCTCGCCTCACTCCCACGCTTCTTGCCCCTACCTCGAGCCTGGGGCTTTCTGTATGTTTCTCCCTCCAACACACCCTGGAGATACAGCTTCTCCTCGACTCCTCGCTCGCCCAGACCTCTACCTTACGCCCCTCGAAATCCTGGGCTCACTTCTGCGCCCAGCCTTGCATCTCGGAGCCCCGGTGTGGCCGGGGACCTCCTCGTGCTCTGCTAAGCACCGTGGCCCACGGATTGGCATCTCACCCCCTTGCGGCCCACGAAGACCCGATCTCTCCATCTGCCGGCACTCCGAGGCTCTGTTCCCTCCCCGCCCTAGGCCTGGCAGCAGGCTCCTCTCTGGAGCTGACCCCCGCGACCTCTTTTCGTGTTCCTCACCCGGGTTTAGGGTCCTTCCTCATTCTTAAAATTCAGCTTCATTTTCCTTTGCCCTCACCTCAGCCTCAGTTTCCCCTCCTCTCCGTGGTAACCCTGAGAACCAGCTGGTTCCCCTTCCCCCACCCGGGGTCCCCTCCTCCCAGGGTGGCTTGGAATAGCGAAGATCCCCCCTTTTCTCTCTCCTTCCCCCATCCCTCCCTCCCATGCTTTCCCACCACCCCGTTGGCACCTCGCAGACCAGGGCTCCCCGCTGCCCCGTCCCAGAGGCTCCCTCTAGGTTTGTGCCCTGGGAGCTCGCCTCTAAACACCTGAGGCCGGAGCGAGACGCTGGACCCGAGTTCTTTTCTTACTCCAGCCTCTGCTCCTTCCCCGGGGAAGCCTGACTCAGCCTCCCCGGGGCGCTAAGATGCCCGGGAGGGGGCTCCCCGGGCTGAGCCAGGCTTTCCCCGGGCAGCGGCCGCGCAGGAGCCCCTCTGGGCGGACCTGCAGCCCCGCGTGGCGCTGGTGGAGCGCGGGGGGTCGCTGTGGCTGAACTGCAGCACCAACTGCCCGCGGCCCGAGCGCGGCGGCCTGGAGACCTCGCTGCGCCGGAATGGTACCCAGCGGGGCCTGCGCTGGCTGGCGCGGCAGCTGGTGGACATCCGGGAGCCGGAGACCCAGCCCGTCTGCTTCTTCCGCTGCGCCCGGCGCACCCTGCAGGCTCGTGGGCTCATTCGGACTTTTCGTAAGTTCCCCGCAGCCACGCTCTTACCCCGCTACTTTCCCTCCCTCCCCGGCCCCGCCCCCTGGGGCATGAGGTCCTCCCTCCCCTCCTTTTTCTGGATCCCCAAACCCACACCTCTTGGCCCTTGGGTACCACACCACACGTTTCCAAGAACCTGGGTTCCTTCCTCCCTTGCAGAGCGGCCTGATCGCGTAGAGCTGATGCCCCTGCCTGTCTGGCAGCCTGTAGGCGAGAACTTCACCCTGAGCTGCAGGGTCCCTGGCGCCGGGCCCCGCGGGAGCCTCACCGTGACCTTGCTGCGCGGCACCCGGGAGCTGGTCCGCCGCAGCTTCCCCGGGGAGTCGCCCCGAGCCCGGGGCGCGGTGCTCTCGGCCGCTGTCGTGGCGAGGAGGGAAGACCACGGGGCCAACTTCTCGTGCCGCGCGGAGCTGGACCTGCGGCCCCACGGCCTGGGGCTGTTTGAAAACCGTTCGGCGCCCAGAATGCTCCGGACCTTCGGTGAGTGGGTGTGGGGAAGGGAAGGGGGGCGCAGAGGAGGGTGACCAAGGTGCTTAAGAAGTTCGGAGGCAGGGGAATCTGACTTAGAACCCTCACGCCAGCACGCACCGGCTGAAAGCCATGTTCCTCTCTTGGACTCTCAGCACTGTCCCCGGAGCCCCCGCGCCTCGCCGCCCCCCGGCTCTTGGAAGTGGGCGCG